CAGGCAGTTCTGCCGCACGTGCCAGAAGTCCTACAACCCTTACCGTGTGGAGGACATCACCTGCCAGGTGAGTGCCCTGCCCTGCCCTGCCCTGCCCTGAGCAGGGCAGCGAGGGAAAGGAGCCAGTGTCCAGTGTCACCCAGGGGAAGGGGACGAAGTCCTCCTCCTCCGTGGGCTGGTGGCCGCAGTAGAAGCTGCTGCTGCTGGAAGCTGAAAGGCGGGGGGTTAAAGCAGCCTGCTGCCAGGGTGCCCTGGGTTGCTGCAAGGACCCCTTGAAGGGCCTTGCTAGAAGTGTGTGTGAAAAGATAAGCCAGGTGTAAGAAGCTGAGCAGCTAAGGGCAGGCTTAGGTTGGCCACTGCCTGCCCCTCCATGTGAAACAAGTCCTGTGATGTTTGGTTCCCACCTTGAAATGGTGCTGTTCAAGTCACATGAGTTGGACTCAAGGCATCCCTCTGTAAAAGGCTGAGAACCACTAGGTTAGACCAACAATAGTCCTCCCAGAGCAGGGGTTGGACAAGATGATTCTCCATGTTCTTTCCACCCTTATCTACCTGAGCTGAGAGCTAAGGTTTTCCTCATTCATACAGAATTTTGATTCACAACTGTCAAAGAAACAGCTGGTACCACTAGCAGCAGCAGCAGCAGCAGCTGACCCATAAAGATGCATGGGCATCAGATGAGAGGAATGGAGATTCCAGCTTAAATGCTGCCTGTAAGCTTTTGGGCCACTAGCACTCTCCCACCCTTACATACTGATTTTTCTTTTTCTTTTTTTTCCCCCACTGTGGTCTGTATCCCCTATTAAAACACCCCTGCTCCTTTCCAGAGCTGCAAACAGACCAGATGCACCTGCCCTGTGAAAATGCGCCATGTGGACCCTAAAAGGCCCCATCGTCAAGATCTCTGTGGGAGATGCAAAGGCAAACGCCTCTCCTGTGATAGTACATTCAGTTTCAAATACATCATTTGAGGAGAATATTTTTGTTTAAAGGCTTCTGATCTAAATTTGCAAATAGAGCCAAGACTGGTTTTTTGTTTTTGAAAGAATATATGAAATGGTGAGGTGTAGCTAGAAAAACCTGCAAATAAAGGTATTCCAAAGCGCTCCTTAACTGTCAAGGCAGGATGATATTTAACTTGTGAAATGGCAGATGTTAAAAACAACATATCATTGTCTTGAAAATGAGGTCTATTGCCCATGGAAGTACTACTTGTCTTGTGAGTGTTCATGCTAACAAGGCCAACTACTTCCTAACAGCAGCTGAGCTTCTGGAAAGTCCTAAAGAATTTAAATTTTGCAGGCAGCCGTGCTTCTTTGGATACCTACAGGGAGATGTCTCTGAGGTCAGTTTTTAAGGTCTGGGCTTACTCAAAGCAACAGGTATTGTGTGAGAACTAAAATATTCAACAGTGTCCTAGTATATAGCATTACATTTTAAGCTTTTCTAGAGTTGCTGCTTATTGCAGAAACAGATAAATGGAAAGATTTACCTGTTCCAAAATTACTAGCTCTCAAGTAAGGGTCATCCTTTTAAAAACTAAACAAAACTAACTCCTCAGTTGGTCTTCCTGCCTTGATTAGGCTAGCTCTGAGGATAAAAACAAAACAACACCCCCCCCCAAAAAAAAACAAACAAACAAACAAAACAACAAACTAGCTGTACAAACAGCTATCACTAGCTAACAGGATGTAGGGGATCACTAAAGCAAATAGTTGCAGAGGGTATTGAAGCACTAACTTTTTAGTACATGCCATCTTTTAAGTTGAGTTCTCTTCAAAACTTATGCATGTCAAAGGATGAAGGCTTCTGCTCTAAGTGACTAAAGACTTTCAGAATCTAACTTGCATGATTTGGTCTGCTTCTATGGTGTGTGTGTGTGTGTGTGTGTGTGTGTGTGTGTGTGTGTGGATCAGTTTTTGTAACTGGATAATTGCTAAACTTCTCTCCTATCTTCCTGGGGAAGTAACTTTGCTTCTGTTCTTGTCCACTTACCAAGCCATCTAGCTGATTGGATAGTGAATGGCTGAAAGTATAGTTCACATGGCACTTTAAACTTTTGAAAATCCATTGCACTAGCCAATTTGGTAATGCATACAATATTTCAAAAGTTACTAAAAATTGCTAGCAAATGGCCCTCTTTTTTTTGTAGATGGATTATGCATCCAACTTTATCCATCTAACTAGATTTAATAAGAGGTTATAAGATACATGTCCAGCTTCAGATCAGATTTTTGGAGGGGGAGAAGAGAGATTTTTATTTAATAAACTTTAAAAACATTCTTTATGGTTCTGTAGGGCTGTCTAGTATACACAGCTAAAGCTGCTTGCATAACTTCTGGTGGCCCTGAGCCCACTCTCTATTGCTAATGCAGAAACCTGCCTGTGTATCCCCTCCCCTGTGACCCTCCTGTTATCTGCCAGCAAAAAGCCTTGAACTGCATGTTTTTTTTTGAGGTGTGGCCTCTCACCTGGCACCAATGACGGAACAGTACACTAGTTGAAGCACAGGAGGAAGCAAACAGTAGTGGAACCAAGGAATTGCTACCCTCAATACTGGCCTCAAGGTCTTACTGTTGCAAACTTCAGTGATTTTTTTTTTGGTGTAGGAAGCCGCATGTAACTCTTGGCACATCACTCAACACTAATAAACACCATGAGCAAATCTTGCATCTACTTTGACTAGCTTCAGTATTTAGCAGTAGTTACAATTTGACATTTAAAATGTGACTTGCCAGTTTGTCATAGCTGCAGGGAGGACATTTTTATAATTTGATGTGGATGTTAAGTTTGATTAATTCAAGGGCACTGGGTAGCAAGCTGTTTTTTTGGGAGGGGTGGGATGTTGGAAAAAAAATTAATGTGATGTTTTGGGAAGATGGCATGTATCTTCTAGATTTGGCTTATAGGACCAATTCAATAGATTAATACTTTGAAGTAGGGCCTTCCTGAGGTGATGAGAGTATTTTGTGTGCCACATTCAAGGGAAAGGCACTTTTCATCCCTGGGTTTCCTATTTGAAATGCTACAAGTAGAGGCAAACTAGCTTGCGGTAATTGTGGCAGATGCAGACCTAAAGGGTTTGCATTTAAAGTTCAGTACAGAACTATCTTGTCAAGTTTCTTCCCTCCTCCCCCCCAGTTCAAAACTTTTTAGCTGTTTGTATCATAAACATAGCTCTTACCGCAGAGAGTAAGTAGAGAGAAAACTGTCCTTATTCCTGTTTAAAGGATATCATTGTAAAACAGGAAGTATTTTCACTTCACAGTGCAACAGATATTAAAAGTGGCATTATTCCCTCCTGTCTGGTTCTTGTATTGTTTAACTATATCCTTTATATTCAGAAGTTCAAATACCCTTTCCATTCCTAGGAATGGCCTCCCAACATAGCTAGAAATACACTGGAAACAGTCTGTGGCCTGTATCTTTTTGGTGTAGTACAATAACATCTTTTTGAGAGGCGGGGACTAGAAATTCACACAATGTTAAAGATTTAAGCACACTTTAGACTTATATAAGGAAGTTGGGTGTCAGGGAACTGGAACTGAGAACAGTTTGTATTGGCTCTTCTGGCTGCTGTTGAACACTTGATCCAATTTCTTTAGAGAATCATCTGCAATGACTCCAAGATCACCTTTTTTTTTTTTTTTTTTTTTTTTTTTTTTTTTTTTT